TATTTTGCATTTGTGTTCATTGTATTTGTTACTCCCATGTTCACCCAACCACGCTTGAGCTCCTGATTTTAAAATGCTTAGCACAATGACGATATTTGGATTTGGATAGAATCTTTGTGCAATTGTTTCAAGAAAGCCTATAGTTTGTTAATATGAGTAGCTAGGGCTGTGCAATTAATCGAAAATCCGATTTCGATTTTGGCTTTTAACAATTATGAAAAACCATTAATCGAGATAAACAATTATTCCATCACGTACCGCCCCCTTTCCAGTTGTACACGTGTGAAAACTCTTTGCCTCTGCAAAGCTCAGTTCCACTTGAAAATGACTAAAGGCATGTACTGTAATGTAACTTTTGCAGCACGGGATACGCATCATTCATAATTTTAAAAGCGCAAAAGAGCACGTGCTGTTGTGTGTGTGCGCGCGCCTTGTTTGGCCTCTAACGCGATCTTAATGTGAACGCTTTAATGGTCAAATACATGCACATTTGTGTCAGAGTGCGGTGTTTATTGATTATTCATATTAACCCCCATTTGTGTAATAAACTAACAAGTTGAGAATCAAAAGACACGAGAAAGAGAAACCATATCAGAGCCGCACTATTCTTAAAGTGACAACGTGCAATACTCCTGCTGCTGCCGACTGTTTTTATTATTAATCAATAATAAAATCAAAATTACAGTGAAGATGCTTTAAGCACAGTTTAAACAACAGATTTAATAACTCATTTCTAAAAACTGATTACTTTTATCTTTGGTATGATGACAGCACATTATATTTTACTAGATGTTCTTCAAGATACTATTCAGTGACATTCAAAGGCTTAATTTGGGTAAATAGATAGGTCATTGTATAACAGTAGTTTCTTCTGCAGACAATCAAACATATATATTGCTTAAAGGGGGTAATAATATCGAGCTATTAAAATAGGTTTCAAAATATTCAAACCTGCTTTTATTCTAGCTGAAATAAAACAAATAAGCCTTTCTCCAGAAGAATAAAAATATTATAGGAAATACTGTAAAAAACCCTCTGTTAAACATCATTTGTAAAATATTTAGATATAAAAATAAATTTACAGGAGAATGAATAATTGTGACTTCAACTGATAATCGTTTTGAATTATCGTGATTACAATTATGACCAAAATAATCGTGATTATGATTTTTCCCATAATCGAGCAGCCCTACGAGTAGCAAAGTATAACTCTCTTTGGGGTTGGAGGGATGGACAGAAGGGTGTGTGTGGTGAGCTATGCAGTCCCAGACGGCCACTCTACCCATGCTGCACTGGGGCGGGGACTGGTTGCCACGGGGGCTTGGGAGCGACCGAGTGAGAGAGAACGTCATGACCCAGATTGAGATGGTTCTCTTTTCCTCTTCCCTTCTACCCCATTCAATCCCTCTCTTCTTTACATCTTTCCCATTCTATCATTTTCTCCTTGAATCCCTGACTGTGCTATCCTCTTTACTTTGTGCTTTCCTTTCTCTAATCCTAGATGTTCCCTCGCACTGTAATGAGAGCCCCCTCCTCTCTCCATAACTTCCTGCTGAGGCATAGAGGGACTGGGGTCACACCCACCCCACCCTCTTTTATTCCAGGAACTAATAACAGCACATGCTCCCAGGGGAGCGTTTACACTCACATATACACATACATACTCTGGTAATGCTTCCTCACCGATATACATCATCATCATCTCTCCATAGGATTTGCCAGTAGTAGTGTACTACTCCCAATCATTGAAGTGCTCTTATTTTTCCATCTTGCTGAAGGCATGTCTGCATAAATTGCAAATCGGGTCAAGAAGCCATGTTCTACCAATAGCCATCAAATGGGCTTGAAATTAATTTAGAATTATTTAATGTGTTCATTATTCGAAAAATTGCCATTGACATTATTTTGCTGTGTTCTTGAAGATGCCATCCTTTCGCAGAAACTAATTCCCTTTGGACATCAAGCCAATCTTGATGATTGCTACATGTCCACATGTACATGGATATTTTTTTAACTGAGTTTTCACTACCTTTGTTAGGAAACAAAAAATCTCAGGTCACATTTTTTAGTGTGTCCAGTTCAGCTGTACCATATGCTTTTAGACTATGGGGGAAGCCAGAGCACCCAGAGGAACCCTATGCGAACACAATGAGAACAGGCAAACTCCATATAAAAAGGCCTCTTATGTTGCGTTCACACCAGATGAATGAATCTTCAAGCACGAGTGATTTACATGTTAAGTCAATGCAAAAATGTCAATAGACATCCTGTGACATGATACTCATGAATGAGGCAACGCATATGACATGATTTGCACGAATAAAGCGGCAAGAGTTGAGCCTTTGGTGCGCTTGACACGCAAATCGCTTGAGTTGGAAAATCTGAACGTTAGCGGACATCCGCGCTGCATTAACCAATCAGGAGCTCTCTTTTTTGGAAGCGTGATTATGACGTACCGCCTGTTGTTGGTGTCCTGAGCTTTTCACTCATTATAGCACACATGCTGCTGATGATGTGACAATAAAAGTGATTTGATTTGATTTGAGGGAAAACCCTCTTACCGACACCAGACAACAGTTCACCAAACTGGGCTCGGCTCATTCGGAAGCACTACTGAAGGTTTCCATCATCCAGATACAGTTTCTGGAGGAGTTGATAAACTCACAGAGCTGTGTGAACCTCTGAAAGGATCTAGTCGACTTGGCGACACAGCTCTTAATGAATATGTTAGCGGTTTTCAGCCTTCCTACAACACATAAACACAACTATTTTCTCAATAAAACCCATGTTAGCCATTTAGCAACGAAGCTAATGCCACCAGTCAGACAGAAGCCCTGCCCATGACGCAAATCCGTGTCTTTTGTGAAGTGAATTGCGGATGAAGTGAATTTGATGTGCAAATGAAGTGAGTAAACTCAAAATGTTCACGCGTGTATTTACATGTGAATAGCGTGATTTTTATTTGCGCGTTTTGCATCTGAAGTGAACACCACATTAGTCCAGCCGGGATTGTGCTAACCTTTTATTCTAAACCAACAGGTGGCAATAAAAGCCTTTCACTCTGGGTTCAAATCAAACACAGAATTAGGTTTTTATATGCGAGTATTAGAGCTGCACAATTAATCGTTAAAAGATCGCGATCTCGATTCAACCCCCTAGACGATCTTAATCCAGCATTTCTAGGATTCTGCCAATCATATTTTCAAGTTCAGGAGAGAAGAAAAGGCGGCTGCACGAGTCTTTTCATTGTTTCACATACGTTGCTCAGTGACATTGACACCTCCAAATGATGTTGAATGAGTCACATACTGTATTTATAAGGTATAATTCACCTGAAAATGTCATTGTTGTCTTTATATAATGATGTTTTCGCGGCCGGGAAATCACACATGACGAGCTGCTCACCGTGAGCTGTTATCACAGAGAGGGCACGCGCCTTCTCTACTTAACGATAGATGTGCGCGCGTCTACTTTAGTGAACAGAACCTGCATATGTTGCGAGTGACAGGTAATACAGTTGTAAATAATATTTCGTTTATGGCACAGAGTGATCGTTTGGAAGCCGCGCGCGAAGTTTGAACAAGCACTTGGCAGTCAAAATGATGCACTTCATTTAAATGATCGTATCGCATTTTAGAGTTATGATTATGGCAAGCGTTTGATATGTTTTTTTTCTTTCATAGCGAACACAGTTGTGCATGAAAATAAATGTTTACAATGTCAGTATAACTACTCTAGCCTATATATTGTTGAATATAATATGATAATGGCAAATGTCTGATTTTACTAGTGAAAAAATTTGTCTAATATGACCGATTGCAAGCATATATCTCAAACATAATAATTCAACATCAGAATTATAAGAAGAATAGAATTATTTATAAAAACTAGTAGACCTACACATAATATTATAATCGATGTTGTGCCATATGTTTGTTTTTACCATACCTTTATTTTACATATACAGAATCGTGAGAAAATCTGATCTTTATTTTGAGCAAAACAATCGCAATTCTCATTTTAGCCAGAATCGTGCAGCTCTAGTGAGTATGTTACATACTGAATCAATGCAAATGAACAAACAGTAGAATTATCACTGGATGCGTGAAATTTCCCTCAATCGAAGCTACCATGTTTGGTGTGAGTTCAGCATTAAATTAAAACTGTGTTGGCCAATTAGAAAGAGAATACAGTGCACACGCAGACATGTAACCAGAGTTTTTTTAAATCTTCACACTGGCTAGAATTTACCGAAGGTTAGGTTTCAGTCACTTGATATTGCATTTTCGTGTGGACAAACTGTTTTGAAAATACCTGTGTTCATGTGGACAGGGCTAAAAACAACTTAAAAAAACACTTGCCTCTGATTTGGAGTTGACCTAAAATTCATCTTACATTTGTAATTAAAGTTACTGCCTTTTTTGAGTACCAGAGTCACTTGCTGGATGCTTTTTAAAGCCTATTTGCAAACTTCCTGCCCTCATTGAGTGTGTATAAAGCATTTGGTCACACTGTTGTTTACCAGACAACTTTAGTTCTAAAAGGAATGCATATATGCTTTTTCACAGTTCATGTGTTTGCAGTGTGTCCATGCCAGGTTGGAAGGAGGGGCACATTAATGGCAGCCACACCCCAGCTTATGATGGGGCCACACCTCTTTGTGGAATCTATTGCTGCTGGGTCACATGACCCCCACTCCCACCCCCATGCATAAGCATTACCACATTTCTCCCTCTCTTTCACTCTACTAATACTGCTGCTCTACTCTGTGAGACTGGCCTCTTTCTCTTGCTATTTGGTCTGGGTGTGACTCTGCTCAGCTCAAAGAGGGAGGGAGCACAGGATTGCTGACTACTCCTCCCTGCTGGTTCATTCGCTCTTTTTCTTCTCGTCTTTCTCTTGCTGGTCAGTCTTCAGAACCACCTTTTTACTCTAATATTCTGTTTTACACATTTTGTTAAGGTATCTAGCCTTAGTAGCTAAAATATCTTGAGTGTAGATTTATCCAAGCCTTTCTTTTTTGCCTTTCTCTTCCTTGATATCTCCCTATTTCTGTCGTTCTCCCCCAACTTAAAACAACCCCCCACGTTTGATTGACCTATACTTGATTTCCACTCATCATCTCTTTTGTTCCCTTATATCTCTTTCTACTCCTCCCCCAACTAACTTGAGCTTAAGAGAGACTATCTTCTCACTCTTCACACATCAGTCTGGTAAGGCTCATTAACTCTTTCTCTCTTTCTCGAAGTAACCTTGATGAATTCATGGTAACTTTTCTTTCTTGTGCTATTAAATTTATCTCAGAACTCGGGTCACTTTTTTTTAGGCGAATTGTAGATTTCACAAATCCATTCATGTGGTTCTTACTGCTAGCTCCAGAGACTGTCGGTAAGACTAAATCTTGATGCTATGATTAGCTCTTAAGTGTTCGCTTTTTCTTCTTCGCAGTGTCAGACGAGTCCGAAGAAATCCGCTGCAGCCACCTCTGAGCCTGTTGAGGAGATGCCATCCATACAAATCAAGCCGGAGCCAGAGGAGGTGGAGTGTATGGTGGTGAGTGAGCTTTTGTAATGTGGTGTATATGTGTGTGCGGGGGCTGAACTTCATAGTGAGGTTTGAGAGTATGAAGTCTAGAGTTATTGGAAAGGGGTGTGGTTGTAGTGTCACCAGAATGAAGTCAGTGGTCCTCAGGGCTCCTCTAAGCTGGGGGAACTTGGATCACCTCTCTAGATAAGGCCACATGTCTACATATTTGGACAGTTTTCTTTGTACAATGCCACAAATATTAGTTTTACAATATGAATCTTTGTATTATTTGATGTGAGACCGTTAGTAGATAAAATCGCAATGAAATAAGTTTAAGTGGGCTTAATGATTGGGGAAATACAAAGGGATGAACTGTACATTTTTGTGTGATCTTTATTTTCCTATTTTCAGTCATTTCCATCCAGATGTTTCCATCCAAACAAGTGAATTAAGCTTAAGTGCGAAACTGGAATATTGCATGAAACATTTGTGAATAAATACAGTTTCTATCCAGTAAGTCAAAGAGATGAAAATGATCACTTTCTGATAAACTGGTGCCAAAATCAAAAAGTAAAATGCAATTTACTTTGTTAGGAGAAGCAACTGTTGGCCTTTTCCTAAAATAATAAATTACTTGCGCTTTAAAAGACAAAGATAAAACGCAAACAATGCATGGTGGCTTTTGGAGGTATGAAACTGCTCATTGGCAACGCAGTTATAGGTAAAAGGTGAGGTATTATAACCAAACTACTTTGATGACATACTTTAGCTAAGGGATTTTAGTATGACCAAAACAACGTTACAGATGTTGTGAAATGTGGTCAGTCTGCCATTTTATTCTACACTGCTGGAGATATCAGTGCTGCTGGATTTCCAACATGTTTTCTCCTGAAATGCTAGAACTGTAAGTGGCTATTTAATTGGGAGAGTAGTAGAGTGAATATTCTAGTAACAAACAGTGTGTATCTTAGTGAACAAAGCTCAACTTTCAATTACGTTTAAAGATAATTAATATTGCCGTCCATAGATGTATTTTGCTAGTACTTATGGACATTTGAATGTCTTAAAAACTAAAATAAATGTTATTTGTTTTAAAACCTTAGCTTAAAGCCTTACCTACCTTAGCGCAAGCAAGAATTGAATTTAGCAGATGATGACGTGCATTTTGAATGTTCCTAGACTGAACACACCAGTTCGATTATAAACGTTAAAGGGTTAATGGCGTCCCATTGCACACCTTTTTTGTTATCACATGAAACAACAAACAAAATCACATGACCTTTTTGATTTGCATGCTGGAATTTATTTGGTAAGTGGGTTTCCATTGTAGTTTATGCAAATTTTTCTTTTATCTTATCGGATAAAACATTTTTTAGTCAGTTTTGCGCTTGTCAATGCTAATTTGAAAAATTGTGCGCATATTGACATTTTAATAATTGTTTTTTATGTAATATTTCAAAATAAAGATAAAATATGTGGAAACTTTGCTAGCCCATGTAACTTAGTTTTATGTGAATTAACCTATTCAATGTATTTTGTGAAGAACAACTTCATTCATTAATTAATTTTCCTTCGGCTTAGTCTCTTCATTAATTATAGGTCACCATAGCGGAATGAACCGCCAAATTATCCAGCATATGTTTTACACAGCGGATGCCCTTCTGGCTGCAAACCAGTTCTGGGAAACACCCATACATGCTAACTTTCACACACATACACTACGGCCAATCTAGTTTATTCAATTTGCCTATAGCTCATGTCTTTGGACTGTGGGAAAACCAATGCCAACATGGGGCGAACATGTAAACTCCAAACAGAAATGCCAAATGACCCAGCCGGGACTCCAACGAGCGACCTTTTTGCTGTGAGGTGACTGTCCTAACCACTGAGCCACCATGCCACCCCTGTTTAGACATAGCTATTGAAAATAAACAAACATTCTTAATTATCGCGCTTCCAACTAAAATGAATTTTCTCGTTTCTAAATATACAAGAGAACACAATGAACTAGAAGAATGAACACAGGCTATTCCCTCTTCTGGAAGGTAACTGAACGTTTTGCCTTCGCCATACTCTTCCCGTTCACTTTGTGTCGGTTTCCTTTTGTACCTTTTCGTTTCTGTCCTTCTACTGTATCTCTCTTTCCAAGTCTCGCCAAGGCCCTAATAGGATATATATCGAGGGAGGCTTCCGTTCTGCTGTAGTCATGGCAACGAGGCTCTGGCGGGAGTTGGAACGACTGTGATGTAGCCTCCCCACACCCCTCTGCCTGAACACACACACACACACACACACACACACACACACTGACACACTACCCCACCCCCTCACAACACTCCCACTCCCTCACAATACACTCCTTAAGCCTTAAGAGACCACATACCTGCAGGGGTACACACATGCCCACATCCACATGCCCAATACATGCCCAACATGCACTCAGGGAGCTAACAGGACCATTTGTTCCCAAAAATGTGATGCACACCCTTTTGTCCTTTTTCCACACATACACACACACACAGCCTTCTCTGTTTCTAATGTGCTTTTACCCAGCCAGTGCCACATAAAGACCTGTGTTTATTAAAGAACTGCTTTTAGTTGAGATCTGTAAACAGATCATGGGCAGCTGCTATTCTCGTTCAAGTATTTATTCTTTGGAAAAAAGTGCCTCGGAATTGCCGTTAGGATCTGTTGTCGATTTTACCTGTGCAATCTGATACATCAGGCGGTTGTGAGAAGGAAGTTGCGGGTATGTGGTTGCCAGGTATTTCAAAAGCACATCACTGTTTGTTTATTGAGTGGGTCTTCATGGACAGCGTGGCATTGTAACCTGGTAGGATGGAGAGGCCCTGGATGGGGTGGTAGCTGGCGAATTGTTTGTGGGAGAGGCTACATGACACTCCCTTTCAAAGGCTGGGCAAGGCTGCAAATTCAGACGCTAATATCACCCTCAGCTGCTGTTTCCTCCACTCCTATATTTTATCAACTGTATCTGCACACCACACCCAGCAGAATCCAAAGCGACTCGCCTTTATAAACAACATGCAATGCTGAGCTGCAGCAGGCTTTCCGAAGCCCTTGAGTTTGAGATTTAGAGTGATGAATGAATCAAGCCTGCTAGTTTACATCGAATAGACATGGCTGGGATGAAGGAAGCCAGTGGAGCTGGTCTGCCTATGAACCTGGGGCAGTGTACTGGAAAAGCTGATGACTTTGTCAGGGATGTTCTTCTTGTGTAGGCGTGTAACAATACATCGTGTGATAGAACTAGGCAATATGGCAAAAATGCAATCTCGATAATTCTTTTCTGTATTGAATGATAACGAAACATATTTCGAAGTTTTTAATTCTTCCACTTTTTAAAAGAGCGTTCCAATCATGACTAATGGCGGATACTTCTGGATGGAAAGTGAACTGTTGGCGGGTGAGGCTAATGGGAAAGGGTAGATAGCTTTTCGAACTGAGATTTTTCACACATGAAACCAAGGTGTAAGAAAATTTCCTGGAATACATTAGCCAAACGGCAGTATAGCTGTACCCGGAAGTAAGGATATTATAGCATAGTATTTTTTTTGTCATTAATATGAGTTTTTACAACAAACAAGTAGGGCTGTCCAATTAATCGAAAATCCGATTTCGATTATGGCTTCTAACGATTATGAAAAACCATTAATCGAGATAAACGATTGTTGCATCATATACCAAAAGCTCGAAAGACCGCGTGCTTATGTGTGTGTGCAACACGCGCACACGTATAAGCACGCGGTCAGCATTCGGTCTCATTCGCACACTGAGACGAGCAGAGGAGCGCAGACATCTAAAGTAATCTTAACATGAGCACTTTAATGGTCAAATAGGTGTCAAAACCCTGTGATTAGTGGTTGTTCATATTAACCCTCATTTGCGTAATAAACAAACGATTTGAGAATCAAAAGACACGTGAAAGAGAAACCATTAAAGTGACAGTGCGAAATGCTGCCGCCTGTTTTATCATTAATCAAACGACGAGAACATTCCTTACTGCTATAGACTAAAGGATTTTTGTAGCTAAAGTTTTTTTCTTAGGGTGAAGATGTTTCCTTTGCAGGGTGGAAAATAACTGTATATATATATACAGTTGAAGTCAGAATTATTAGCCCTCCAGAATATTAGCTACCCTTTTCCTCCAATTTCTGTTTAACGGAAAGAAGTTTTTCAAACTTATTTCTGAACATAATAGTTTTGATATATCATGTCTAATTACTGATTTGTTTTATCTTTGCTATGATGACAGTACATACCATTTTACTTGATGTTTTTCAAAATACAAGCATTCAGATTAAAGTGCAATTCAAAGTCAGTAGTTTCTTCTGCAGGCGATCAAAAAATATATTGCTTAAGGGGGCTAATAATATTGACCTTAAAATGGGTTTCAAAATATTTAAAATATTAGAGGAAATACTGTTAAAATTCCTTGCTCTGTTTAACATAATTTGGGAAATAGTTATTTAAAAAAACAAAATTCTCGGGAGCGCTAATAAATTTGACTTCAACTGAAAATCGTTTTGAATAATCGTGATTACAACTATGACCAAAATAATCGTGATTATGATTTTTTCCAAAATCGAGCAGCCCTACAAACAAGCATATGTTTTAATATATTCATAACCTCACTTGTGTTTTACCATCATGCTTGAAAAAAACACTAAACTAAAAGCCGCAAGATTTTGCTATGTATAATTCATAGCAATAACTCCTGTATAGCAGTCCCACAACATTCAGACACTTGATGACACTCGAATACCCTGTCAGAAAAGTCTAGTGGCTGGGAATGAGCTTTGTACAGTGTCTGCTATAATGTTAATGTTTTTTTGGTGTGTGTTTACATTGATGAATATGACCACTCTGTAAATGTGCAATACACATAACATAATATATGCCTTAAGTGATTTCCTGAAGATAAATACCAAAAAAAAAAAGCAACTGGAATAACTACAGCAGCCACAATCATCTGATCTCATATGAAGCATGAGACTGCTGAAGGCTGA